GTTTCAGTTCAGGCCATATGTTCTTTAGTTCATTTATAACTTAATTTGCAAATTTTCTCCCATTATCTGATTGAAGTCCACTTGGAGCACCTATAGTGGTGACAATATCAAGTAGCTGGTAAGCAACTTCTACTCTTTGCTTTTCAGAGGTAACAATAATATATAAATTTGGTTAAATGATCCTGATAATTGAGTATAAACTTGTACTTGCCATCATGATCACTCTGCATGTTTGTAAAGATCAACCTGGCATCTTGAGTTAAATTCTTTAAATATCAAAGGTTTAGAAATTAACCTTTCTTGGGATTTGACAATTTGGTCTGACATGGCTTGCATAAGTAGAGGTACTGTACAATATAATGATTTCTTTGATGACATTTTTGTACTTAGTTCATAGCTCCTTTTCCATCTGTGTCTGACCTCCATGTCCAATTTTCAAGTGGGTATCATGCAATATGTTGAAAAATTCTGCTGTATGTATATAGTACAAAATATCACTATTGTGTCCTGTTATTGGCACAATAAGTGTTTCTTGGGTTAACTTCAATAACATCATATTTTCTTAGTCAATGGTAGTCAACACTTTCTTTTTTCTGCTTTGCTTTTGCCTTTTAACATCTATAAAAGTGCTGTATTTGTCTCTGATGAGCATCCTGCTATTATTTGCTTTTTGCAGCAACATATTCAAAAGTATCTGAGAACGTGATTTTCATATCAGATGTTGGTTCTGCATTTACATGTAGTCCAACTTCACCCAGCATATTTGTCCCATCAGAAGTAGCCATGGGACAACCTATGGAATAACAATTATGAATATTTGAAATTATAATATTGTTACATGGGATACAGCCCCAGTAAATTGTGTTCTATTGCTAATTTAGTATGTTCCATTAAGAGAAAACATGTTGTAGCAAACAATCCTTTATTAACTTCAGCATAATTACTGTATGCTCCTTCCAGCAATATGTGTCATCACATGTACTCCATAACACATCATACATGCCCTATGACAACCTTTGAACTCAAAGTAGTCATATAGAATACTATATAAATACGAAGAATACAGTACTCACAATTAAACCGTAAAACTCAAAATAATAACAAGTCACAGAGGCAGGATCTTCTCCAAAAAGCAGCAGACATACAGAATATTATCATCACAATGTGGCACCTTCCTTGCTAGCATGTGCGTGGCAACATCAAATTGGAAGCAAAAGATGTGCTGCCTACCGGACAGTGCATCAGCACATTAAATTTTGGCCAGAAATTTCCCACCATTTTGCAAAATGGCTGGCCAAAGTAGCATATACACTGGTCATTTCAAGTACATCAAACATTGGCCACTCTTCTTGGCCAAAGTGTGAAATGGCCAGCCAATTCGGAAACTGGCTGAACTTTGGGCTTTCGCCATAACACATAAAATGGCTAGGATCACATTAATATATAAAAATTAGAAGAAACAATAAATGTCTTCACATTACATCCTTTCACACACATCAGGGACACAACTGTCTTTCTGGTGAAATCAATCTGAAGCGGGACTCAAACCTGCAACTCCCATATACTATGTAGATGCATTGCCAGTTACACTTCCCAGACCTCCAGGCAACTTTTGCTTTCAGAACTATTATTAATTTAGATATAACCATGGCTCCAACTGTAAGCAAAGATAACCCAGAGGTCAACATAGCATAACTGGCACTGGCAACACATCCGCACGGTATAAGGAAGTTGTGGGTTTGAGTCCTACTTTGGGCCAATTCTTTTCTTTCAAAAAAATTCTAAATTTAAATTTATTATAATTATTAAATCTAGTACAAGATTGTCTAGAGGTAGGTAGTTATGCTACAAATTATTTAGCCATATTATATCCCAATAATTTGGCAGTTTGTTTGGCTTTAAATCATTCATTTGATTAAATTAAATTTTTTTTGCTTCCTTAATGATGATTGATTTTTCTCTTGTGACATAAAATAATGCACAAAATTTTTAAATCAAGAAATTCTGATTATTCTACTAAACAATGGTAATATTATTCAATGTTATGTGTAACAAGTAACTAAAATAACAATTTTGCCATTAAAAGTTAAGTCATTTGATAATGAAGTTGCAAACAATATTTTCTTAGTAAATAATAATTGAGATTTATGAAACATTAGTACAAATTTGAAGTTATGAATTAAAATAGTAATTATACTTACACAGAAGTTGAATGGCTAATTGTTCCGAATAATTCCGACTATCAAGAAATCCTCCTACTATATGTAATTCCAACCTATAAATATAATTATATATTCAAATACCAGACACATTATTATTTGTCAGTATAAGAAATATTCTCTGAAATTCAAAGTTAATAACATCGTTTCTACCCCAAATTATTAAACAACTTGTTTATAATAACTAACCTGCCTTCAGGAGCACTTAAAGATAAATCTTCTACACGTCTAACAAGGTTGGCCACTCCTTGTTGTAAACCAGATCCATCAAAATGAGCAAGTCCAACAGCTCCAGATCCTAAAATTTGAAAGAATTAATGTATTTTTTATTCATTTTCTATATATTTTTGGGCTGTAATTTTCAAATTATAGACCTATAGCTTCCCGCTGTCATCTGTCCCTCCTTAATCTCAAAAATGGAGTTAGTTAGATGAAAATCAAGACCAGATATGGAAAGTTTAGAGGTCAGAGACCTCAATTAACTATATACAAAAACTTCCCGCCTGAACTGAAAGTTGCATGATATATTAAATTAAAATATAATTGTCACAATGCAGGGCTGCAATTTTTAATGTCACAATGACTAAACTATTTTTGTTTTTTTTTTTTAATTTACTTCTTGGCTTACAATTAGAGGGAATTTTAAATTATTATTGAAATTTATAACATTTTTCTGCTCTCAAACTGTAGATAAAAAATGAAATTAAAATGAATATTAAATATTTTACAAATTAGGATTAAATTTTGTGAAACATTTGTTTCTTCTGAGGTTTATGTATCTGAATGATAAATATTAAAGCAAGTAAATTTTTACAATTAATAATTATAGAACAAATTTTTTTCTGAAAATATTTTATATTTTTTTTGCTAAAAATACAGTTTAAATTCATTAAGTTTTTTTTTTACATTTGAGAAATTCAATAAGTTAAAATAATGACTGTATTAAGAAGTTGCTACAACATTCACTTTAATGCTTTCAAAGTAATTTCAAAAAACAGCAGAAAACAGTTAGCCATTTTTAAATAAGTTTTAAAGATAGAAGTAGAATTATTCCTAAAATATTAAAATAAATATTGTAATGATTTTGTGAGACTTAATTTTAATTTATTGATTTGAACATAAGGAAACTTTTTTACTCTAATATTTTATAAAGCTTATTTTTCTAGAAGTTCAATGTATATAAGCAAAAAATTATTGTTATGTAAATAATTGATAACATACATTATTTGTTAATTTAACGTTCTGAATTCATTAACTGAAAATTTAAGTAAAAAGTACTGTTATGTCTATATATAAAAATTTTGTTTTAAGTTATAACACAAATGTAAAATCAAACTCTGAATTTGTGTATACAGCGTATTATAAGTGAAATATTTTATGTAAAACATAAAAATTAACAATACATGTGAGTGTGTGCATGTGTCTGCATAAAAGCTGATTTAAATAAAACTTGGCAAAACTTTCTTACCTGTATGTCTTAAAACCACAATAATGCAAGTGGTGGCATCATCAGTTCCTAATATATTGATATGTTCTAGTAAAAAAAAATTTCATATTATTAAGATAAAATAAATTTAGCAATCATCATTAGTAAATATACTTAAGAACATTTATTTCAAGTTTATGAATTTTCTTTTTTAACTTACTGTCATGTAAACCAGTCACAGCAAATTCCCTTTGATGGATATATAGAAGGCCCACAGGGCCAATAACCTTAGGAACCTGTGCTATCAAGGACACTGCCACCTCCTAAAATTTTTAAATAAAAAACATCTTCAATTAAAAAAAGCATAGACTAGTTTCTAATAAAAAAAAAAAAAACAATAGCCATAACAAAATTTGTAGGAACGTCCTGTTATTGGCACANCGAGACCTGGTGTTTTCAATATGACCCACAAACAAAACGTCAAAGTGCCGAATGGAAGTCAAAATCATCACCTCAAGCCAAGAAAACACGAAAAGTTCCATAAAAAATCAAGACGATGTTCATTGTTTTCTTCGATAGCAAAGGCATCATCCACCGTGAGTTCATCCCACAGGGTCAAACAGTTACTGCTGCTTTCTACTTGGGAGTTTTACAACGATTAATGGGAAGAATTCGTCGAATTCGACCAGAATATCGCAATTCCGATGACTGGTGTTTGTTACACGATAATGCACCGAGTCACACATCATTGATTGTTCGTCAATTTTTGGCACGAAATCAAGTCTGTGTGTTGAATCATTCGCCGTATTCCCCCGATTTAGCACCATGTGACTTCTCTTTATTTCCAAAAATGAAAATGAAGTTGAAAGGATGCATTTTTACTGATGTTGAAACCATCCAAAGAGAGTCTACGCGCATATTAGAGGCAATACCGAAAATTGAGTTTGAGCAGGCATTTGAATCACTATTGAATTGCTGTAAAAAGTGTATTGAAGCAGGAGGAGAGTATTTTGAATAATTTAATAAAAAGATTTGAATAAAATTGTTTTGTTTCATTTTTATAGATCCAGTCCCGGAATATAATTGCCGCACTGTGTATAGTGGAATCATTTGAATGGTAGCAATACCCATATATACATTGAAGAAAGTTGAAGATTGAAATACATTGAATATTGAAAAATTGAATATACATATACATTGAAAAAAGTTTATAAATTTATAAAACTAAATATGATACAAAGTAATTATTATTATTAAACTAAGGATGATGATTTGTTACAATATTTTTTACCATTTTAAAGATTGTACAATTTGAAAAAACTTATAGATATATTTTAGAATCGTTTTTGACTTACCACATATACAGGCAGTAATTAAGTGGATATTAAGTGGTTGTTTGTGGAAAGCATCTGAAGAAGGAAAAAAAAACAAAAATAACTTTATTAATTGATATTTATTTCCAATAACGGATAATAAAAAAATAAATTGGAATTATTAAAAATATCATTTAAAATGATTAACTTTCATCTGTAAATTTTCGTACGATGGAGAGTACAGTAGAGCATCAATTATCCGACCATCAGTTAACCAACCGTTCTAGTCGGCAAATTCAAATGTCCGCTAGTGATGTGGCGCTACAATATTTGGCTATGTCTTGGCTACTTTAATAGTATTTTTACGTGTTTTAGCTGTCAATATGGCTCGACCATGAAAGGGAGCCAGTATTTAAACGAGGCTTAATTTTCTAATTTTTAACAATACAATAACGATGATTATTATTTTAAAAACATTTTTGTTAGGCTTAACATTGATGAAAATTCAACGTGAAGTAGGTTAATAACAATATACTAATATACTAATGACATGAGATATACTGATATACTATACTAATAATGTATTTTTTCATATTTTTCAGTTATCCGTTTTTTCAGTTATCCGACCAACCCCAGTCCCCAATTGAGTCAGATAATCAATGCTCTACTGTATATTATTTTTTAAAAATGAAGACAAAGTGTATTGTATGGAACACAAAGAAAATAAATGGTGGTCCCTTTTGGGCAGAATTTGTCTCCATTTTTAAAAAATGATTAATTTATTATACAATTTACATAAGGGTGCATAATGTATTCATTTAATCAAAATTATAATCCGTAGAATATATTCTAAGTACCAAACTGTTCATAAAAAAATATAATTACATCTTATAAATCAATAAAATATATTTTTAAATCTTTTAATTACACTATATTTGTAAAAAAATAGACATGCAAAATCCTGAAAGACAAAAATAAAAATGGCTAACTTATCCAAGTGGAAATTAATAATAATAATAATAATAAATATATATATAATACAAAGACAATTTAACTTTTATGAAACAATATATAAAAATTAATATAAAATATACATTAATTTTAATATATATTTTATATTTAAAAAATCAACTGGGCAAATACATAATTATAATTGGAAATGTTTAATTCTTTCTTCACAATTTTAGGCAAATTTGAGTATTTCAAAAATATTGTTAATTCGGGTAATAACATTTTTCAATAAACATTTCCTTTTATGACACCAAACTGATTTGTCATCCATATTCCAAGCACAAATTACCTACTTTGGTAATACATTTACTACGAAAATATTCATATCTGTCAATCAAAACAGAAAACTCTTATCACATTTTAAACTTCTTCATAGTTTGTTATATAATGGCCAATTGAAGTGTCATTCTCATTCCCAACACCTGCTAATAACTATTTACTACGGGAATAGTTGTACATGACAAAGCATAACAGATAACATTATAAGAGTTATCTTGTAGGTGTAGTTGGCAATTGAACAATAGGCACCAAGATAATTTGTAGTTGGCAGTCAACATATTGATGGATTTAAAATAACATGTTATTTTATTGAAAAAAATCTAAATATTTGATTTATTACTTTTAAAGTAAAAGTGGAGTTAAAACAAACATCATAGTTTTGCTGCATTTTTTTGAAATTCATAGTTATGCAAACATCAATAATATTTTTCCCAAGTATTTCTCACACACTTTTAGCATAAATCTGAAAAAAAAATGTAGAACACGGATCCTTTGATATACTTTGAAGAAAATCTTTTGTTTTCTTATCCAAAATGACAGAAAAAATAAAAATCAAAAATAAGATAGAATTAATTTTTTAAATTATCTTATTCATTGGCTATTTGATATCATTCTACAGGAAAATGGTTTTTGTCCAAATTAGAAATTGATATATTTTCAAAAAGTTTCTATTCATGCTCTTTGTGAATGTCTTGATCACCTTTAATATCTTCATTTGAATTATGTGAAACAACCATTTTAATATTTTTAATTTTGACTGTCAAAATAAATTTATAGAAAAACTAACAACATTGAAATGTAAATAATTTATCAAAAATATATTCAAACTTGTTAGTTTAATGATGGTTTACTTTATAATGAATATGCATATTAATGTGATATCCTGGAAATCCACCCTCTTTCCAGTGGGTAATGTACGATAATGACTAATTGTGTGTATGGGAGTCACAAGACTTGACAAAGGTTTATTTCTCTCATGTCATTGTTTAAGTCGTCACCATCTAATGACAAAATCTTATGACGGCCCACCGGATACATCTTGTGACAGAGAAGAACCTGATGAAATTCTCACACCCACTGGGAAATGGTGAGAATATAAGTGGTTCACCAAAGTTTCAGAGTCGACACATCATGAAGAGCATACACCAAGCTCTAATATCATCAGCTCTCATCTCCTCTCCCCTCCGAAGCAGACATTGAACACTGTCTCCAAAGAAGTTGCCCTAACTGATCCACTATAAGAGGTATTTTACTTGATAAATTTATGTAAACTCTCTCTTGATCAACTTACACATAAGTAGCTAGTTAGATGATATTTTGTATCCCTTTGGATGTATTATCGAAATATCATAGCCATTGTGTTTGTCTGTAGAAGTGTCTTATTTAGGTTATTAAACATTTGTTGTTTGTTAACCTGGTAACCTGTCTTTACTTGAAGAACAGACACCTGTCAACTTACCCATGACTCTGCCGCTCGATCTAGTCCTCTAATCTGAATTTAGACAACAAGTATAATTGCAAGTTAAGACGCACGAACTATAACTTGTGTCAGACTTGATAGGAGAGGAAAATTATATGATTTTCCCATCTCCTACAATATACCAGGAAACCAGCCATCCAGTGACAATTGAGCAGGTCTAACCGACCCGACACTGCCACTTGGTGATAAGAGACCAATCCCCCTGCAAGGCGGCAAAATTCTGCAAAATTATATAGTTTCTAAAAGTAGAGAGACACCTGTAATTGTCATAAAGTAAGATACTTTGTATGTGTATGTTTTTATGTATATATTACATGGAAAATGGCTAATGTTGGTGTAAACTGACTGGCCAATGTCTGATCTTTTCTTGATTTTGGGATTTGGCTGGCTAATTTGCTGGCTATTAATAATGGAAAATGGCATGGAGGTGATCAGTCAAATTTGGAAGAAAAAGTCATGGTCATTTGTAAGTAAGTTATCTACAACCTCTCTGGACAGATTTGAGGTTCTAAGCCTCACTTTTGCCTTGCAGCCAAACATGGCCTCATAGGGTGACTGCTGAATGCCCTGATGAAAAGAACTTTCATGAATTAAATAAATAGGACACCCTTAGCCCAATGTGTTGATTTATTTATCTGTATCCATATCATCATCATATTCTGAACATCCTGGTTGGCACGTTCAATGGAATCTTGCCTCAGTTTTCCATGTACTAGTTTCAGTTCAGGCCATATGTTCTTTAGTTCATTTATAACTTAATTTGCAAATTTTCTCCCATTATCTGATTGAAGTCCACTTGGAGCACCTATAGTGGTGACAATATCAAGTAGCTGGTAAGCAACTTCTACTCTTTGCTTTTCAGAGGTAACAATAATATATAAATTTGGTTAAATGATCCTGATAATTGAGTATAAACTTGTACTTGCCATCATGATCACTCTGCATGTTTGTAAAGATCAACCTGGCATCTTGAGTTAAATTCTTTAAATATCAAAGGTTTAGAAATTAACCTTTCTTGGGATTTGACAATTTGGTCTGACATGGCTTGCATAAGTAGAGGTACTGTACAATATAATGATTTCTTTGATGACATTTTTGTACTTAGTTCATAGCTCCTTTTCCATCTGTGTCTGACCTCCATGTCCAATTTTCAAGTGGGTATCATGCAATATGTTGAAAAATTCTGCTGTATGTATATAGTACAAAATATCACTATTGTGTCCTGTTATTGGCACAATAAGTGTTTCTTGGGTTAACTTCAATAACATCATATTTTCTTAGTCAATGGTAGTCAATACTTTCTTTTTTCTGCTTTGCTTTTGCCTTTTAACATCTATAAAAGTGCTGTATTTGTCTCTGATGAGCATCCTGCTATTATTTGCTTTTTGCAGCAACATATTCAAAAGTATCTGAGAACGTGATTTTCATATCAGATGTTGGTTCTGCATTTACATGTAGTCCAACTTCACCCAGCATATTTGTCCCATCAGAAGTAGCCATGGGACAACCTATGGAATAACAATTATGAATATTTGAAATTATAATATTGTTACATGGGATACAGCCCCAGTAAATTGTGTTCTATTGCTAATTTAGTATGTTCCATTAAGAGAAAACATGTTGTAGCAAACAATCCTTTATTAACTTCAGCATAATTACTGTATGCTCCTTCCAGCAATATGTGTCATCACATGTACTCCATAACACATCATACATGCCCTATGACAACCTTTGAACTCAAAGTAGTCATATAGAATACTATATAAATACGAAGAATACAGTACTCACAATTAAACCGTAAAACTCAAAATAATAACAAGTCACAGAGGCAGGATCTTCTCCAAAAAGCAGCAGACATACAGAATATTATCATCACAATGTGGCACCTTCCTTGCTAGCATGTGCGTGGCAACATCAAATTGGAAGCAAAAGATGTGCTGCCTACCGGACAGTGCATCAGCACATTAAATTTTGGCCAGAAATTTCCCACCATTTTGCAAAATGGCTGGCCAAAGTAGCATATACACTGGTCATTTCAAGTACATCAAACATTGGCCACTCTTCTTGGCCAAAGTGTGAAATGGCCAGCCAATTCGGAAACTGGCTGAACTTTGGGCTTTCGCCATAACACATAAAATGGCTAGGATCACATTAATATATAAAAATTAGAAGAAACAATAAATGTCTTCACATTACATCCTTTCACACACATCAGGGACACAACTGTCTTTCTGGTGAAATCAATCTGAAGCGGGACTCAAACCTGCAACTCCCATATACTATGTAGATGCATTGCCAGTTACACTTCCCAGACCTCCAGGCAACTTTTGCTTTCAGAACTATTATTAATTTAGATATAACCATGGCTCCAACTGTAAGCAAAGATAACCCAGAGGTCAACATAGCATAACTGGCACTGGCAACACATCCGCACGGTATAAGGAAGTTGTGGGTTTGAGTCCTACTTTGGGCCAATTCTTTTCTTTCAAAAAAATTCTAAATTTAAATTTATTATAATTATTAAATCTAGTACAAGATTGTCTAGAGGTAGGTAGTTATGCTACAAATTATTTAGCCATATTATATCCCAATAATTTGGCAGTTTGTTTGGCTTTAAATCATTCATTTGATTAAATTAAATTTTTTTTGCTTCCTTAATGATGATTGATTTTTCTCTTGTGACATAAAATAATGCACAAAATTTTTAAATCAAGAAATTCTGATTATTCTACTAAACAATGGTAATATTATTCAATGTTATGTGTAACAAGTAACTAAAATAACAATTTTGCCATTAAAAGTTAAGTCATTTGATAATGAAGTTGCAAACAATATTTTCTTAGTAAATAATAATTGAGATTTATGAAACATTAGTACAAATTTGAAGTTATGAATTAAAATAGTAATTATACTTACACAGAAGTTGAATGGCTAATTGTTCCGAATAATTCCGACTATCAAGAAATCCTCCTACTATATGTAATTCCAACCTATAAATATAATTATATATTCAAATACCAGACACATTATTATTTGTCAGTATAAGAAATATTCTCTGAAATTCAAAGTTAATAACATCGTTTCTACCCCAAATTATTAAACAACTTGTTTATAATAACTAACCTGCCTTCAGGAGCACTTAAAGATAAATCTTCTACACGTCTAACAAGGTTGGCCACTCCTTGTTGTAAACCAGATCCATCAAAATGAGCAAGTCCAACAGCTCCAGATCCTAAAATTTGAAAGAATTAATGTATTTTTTATTCATTTTCTATATATTTTTGGGCTGTAATTTTCAAATTATAGACCTATAGCTTCCCGCTGTCATCTGTCCCTCCTTAATCTCAAAAATGGAGTTAGTTAGATGAAAATCAAGACCAGATATGGAAAGTTTAGAGGTCAGAGACCTCAATTAACTATATACAAAAACTTCCCGCCTGAACTGAAAGTTGCATGATATATTAAATTAAAATATAATTGTCACAATGCAGGGCTGCAATTTTTAATGTCACAATGACTAAACTATTTTTGTTTTTTTTTTTTAATTTACTTCTTGGCTTACAATTAGAGGGAATTTTAAATTATTATTGAAATTTATAACATTTTTCTGCTCTCAAACTGTAGATAAAAAATGAAATTAAAATGAATATTAAATATTTTACAAATTAGGATTAAATTTTGTGAAACATTTGTTTCTTCTGAGGTTTATGTATCTGAATGATAAATATTAAAGCAAGTAAATTTTTACAATTAATAATTATAGAACAAATTTTTTTCTGAAAATATTTTATATTTTTTTTGCTAAAAATACAGTTTAAATTCATTAAGTTTTTTTTTTACATTTGAGAAATTCAATAAGTTAAAATAATGACTGTATTAAGAAGTTGCTACAACATTCACTTTAATGCTTTCAAAGTAATTTCAAAAAACAGCAGAAAACAGTTAGCCATTTTTAAATAAGTTTTAAAGATAGAAGTAGAATTATTCCTAAAATATTAAAATAAATATTGTAATGATTTTGTGAGACTTAATTTTAATTTATTGATTTGAACATAAGGAAACTTTTTTACTCTAATATTTTATAAAGCTTATTTTTCTAGAAGTTCAATGTATATAAGCAAAAAATTATTGTTATGTAAATAATTGATAACATACATTATTTGTTAATTTAACGTTCTGAATTCATTAACTGAAAATTTAAGTAAAAAGTACTGTTATGTCTATATATAAAAATTTTGTTTTAAGTTATAACACAAATGTAAAATCAAACTCTGAATTTGTGTATACAGCGTATTATAAGTGAAATATTTTATGTAAAACATAAAAATTAACAATACATGTGAGTGTGTGCATGTGTCTGCATAAAAGCTGATTTAAATAAAACTTGGCAAAACTTTCTTACCTGTATGTCTTAAAACCACAATAATGCAAGTGGTGGCATCATCAGTTCCTAATATATTGATATGTTCTAGTAAAAAAAAATTTCATATTATTAAGATAAAATAAATTTAGCAATCATCATTAGTAAATATACTTAAGAACATTTATTTCAAGTTTATGAATTTTCTTTTTTAACTTACTGTCATGTAAACCAGTCACAGCAAATTCCCTTTGATGGATATATAGAAGGCCCACAGGGCCAATAACCTTAGGAACCTGTGCTATCAAGGACACTGCCACCTCCTAAAATTTTTAAATAAAAAACATCTTCAATTAAAAAAAGCATAGACTAGTTTCTAATAAAAAAAAAAAAACAATAGCCATAACAAAATTTGTAGGAACTTATCTTATATATATATACACATAATTTATTTCTGTTTCACAGTTTCACACATATATAAATATTATCATTCAAAATTTTTTATTGCTTGATTGTTTAATGTATAAAAATTAATTCATTTTTATTTAATTTTATAAAAGTTAATCTTATTTCAGATATTTAGTATACATAAAAATTTACAATAAACTGTGTGTTTATACTAAACCAAACAATTGCCTTAATTAATCAGGCTATTTTTTGCTACCATTAATAATTAGATATTAAGTAATTTAGTATTAAAGGTAGACATTAGATGCCATCTCTTATTGAAATTAATAATTACGTCTGATTAATTATGGCAATCATTTGGTTTAGTATTAATAAATTGGGCTTTGTGATGTTTATATATATATATATAAACTATGTCTTTACCATCATTCACCAAACAAACTAAGTATACAAGAATGGGTACAGGATATCTCGTAGAATGTTACAAGCTAATAACTCAAGCAACTTAACTAATTAAAATATCTTTGTTCTTACCATTCTTGTTGAATTATAGCTTTGTTTTAGTGATGTAAATTTGAGTTTTTCCAATTTGAAAACAACCCAAAGTTGTTACACACTCAACTTGTGAAAAATAAATATCCATCTCAAAAGAACTGTGGGAAATTACTGTACCATAATCTTGTTCTCTTTATCTTTGCCTTCCGATAAACGATTGGCTAATTTCCTTCCCAAAGTTCCATTGCATTAAAGTTCTGACAAAAAGATTTCTTGGAACTTTAATTCGGATTCAGCAAAAATAAATGCACCTTCGTTTTTCCACATTATTGGCAAGTTGTCAATTTTTACAAGTGCAATTCTTTTAAATAAACCTGGAATGACTTTTGGCAGTAATGATGCCACCCCAAGGACACAAAAAAACTGAACTATGCAACATTTCTAGGAATTTTCTTTTAACTAATCCATGTCACCAATGGAAGGATGTTAAAGCTTGCTAAATTTTAGCTCAGGGACTAACCTATCCATTTCTATGTTAGACAGATTTCATCTTGTACAGACAATTATCTGTTTATTAATAAACGGGAATTGTTGGGACTAAAAAAAATTGTCTGCCTTAAGAAAGATCCCATCTTGGTCACATTTTATCATATATATTTCATTCTGACAAGTGCAATATAAATATTTATCACCATTTAGTATGTCAATTTACATCGAAAAACAATAATTAGATTATAAAATTGTATCATCTTATAAATAAAATTTTCACATGCAGTCATTAATACTAGATTTAGAGATTCAATATGCTTCATTTCTGTTTCACACACAAAATGATTTGAAATATAAAATAAATTTTTTAATGAAATCCACTATATTAATACCTTTACTTAAGAGTGTCCTAACTAGCGAGTTTTTTTAGATACAAGCCGTCTCTTGGCTGATTTTTTGCTTTGAGTCGAGCTAAAATTCGGGTTGTGAGCCAACTTCAGATACTCCACTGCTAGTTGGCACAGTGAACCATAGATTAAGAAAAAGAAGATGGAAACTGCCGTAAGGTGTGCAGTGTACCAATGTTCGAGGCAGTGCAACTAGTGACAAGGAAGAGAAGCATGCAAGACACTTCCACATCTGTGCAAAAACCGAGCAAAATTACAGTGCTTTCCTTTCAATGAATTTATGAATGAATAAGCAGTAATTATCAAGTTAATATTGTCACCTACTCCCAAACCGGGAAAGATGACTGGGATTGAAGATAAAGAAACATGTAGCACACAACTTTATTTAAAACTTACAAAGTTTTTATATTTTTAAATACTGTACATATGTACAATATTATATTATACTTACTACTGAATATGATTTTCTAAATGTGTTTAAGCTTTTATATACCATTCATTTACTTTCATATTCAATAAAACATACTGTATATTCATCCATATGCATATGTATTATTAGGCTTAGCTCTGTCATTGATACACATTGAAAATTTGATATAAGGAAAAAGATATTTAGTAAAAATCATTGTTTCAATAGTAATTGTAGTTGTTTTTGCTTATTTCAGTTGTTAAGAATAATATTCTGGATTATTTTTACTGAAAATTACTAGAAAGCTCTTCTGGACTCCATGTGGAAGAAGCTGTGGCCTGAGGTTGTCTGAAATGGGCTTTGAAAGATTCAAACCTGAAGCAGCAGTGATGGAGGAGATTGTATCCCTCGGCAAGTCCATGGGTCTGAACACGGATGAAGGTGGGAATATGGGAGAAACTATCAGATTTTATTCAAAAGAAACACCCAGAAAAAGTTACAACTAGGTGTGCGATGGTGCTATTTGATGAAGTCTGTTTCATCCTCCCTTTCAGAATGTTTCTGAAAGGGAGGATGAAACAGACCTCATTGGACAGGTTTTTATCAAAAACCCCTGCAGATGAAAGTGAGGAAAGTTGGCAAAAATTAGTGAATAAGATTCAGTTATTCAGTTCAGTCTTTCTCCTCCACCTCTGTCAGCATCTTCAAGTCATCTGATCTCTAAGGTAAATGCTGTACATCATACAGTAGTTAATAAAACCAGTTTATTGCAATACATTCTATTGTGTTTTTATACAATATTTATTATTTATAAGTACATTTTTATTATTTAAAAACATGTAACAAAAAACATTGCAGTATTTTCAGGAGTCTGGAATGGATTAATGGCATTTCAATGGGGAAAATGGATTTGACATATGAGCAATTTGAGTTAAGAACTCTGTCATAAAACAATGAAACAAATTAAACTCTTAAGTCAAAGCACTACTGTATTTACAGTAAGACCCTGCTTAAACCCAAAACAAAAAGTATCATATTTGTTTTGGGTACTAATTGGAAATCTGTTATAAGCAGGGGATATATTCCTAGGTGACAAAGCTCTAAATAAAACAGCATTAAACAAGGTCCTTTTAACACAGACTAAATAGGGAAAGAGGAACACACAATCCAAAAATAAACAGATTTTACTTTAATTTTCAGTTATTTTTATATTAATTTGTATAATGATATAAGTTAAATAACACACAAACATTTGCACACAGAAATGTAAAGTTCATTTTTTTGTGATGAGGTCCTGGTTCTTCTGACATTCATTTTTTACGATAAAGTTGTGTAGCTTCATTTGTCGCATTTTTCTTTCTTTCCTTAAGCAAATGTCAGTAGCAAGAGATCACATCCAAAACACATCTTGCTTTTGTACTCCTTTCAAAATCTGGATCATTCACTACAATTTGATCTATGATTTCGGTTATCATTACCAAACTTTTACTAAGGAAATCTGTAGAGAAATTCTTTGGATTCTTCATTTTCAGAATCACTATTTCCAGTTCTACATGGATTCCTTGTTCTGCTAGTTCTTGAAATTCATTGGTAAGGTTCTCATCAGAAACCTGCAGTATCTTTTCAATATCTTGCTCGTCTACATCTCATAGTCCTGCTGTATTAATTAGGTTGACAATATAGTCAACCTAACGATACAGCGATATGCTCTTTTCCTTGAGAATTCTTGGATACCTTCAGCCATAACTTCTTCCACACTTCATTCGTGCATTTATCAGTTAATTCTTGCCAAGCAAAAATGATATTGCCTATAACAGCCATGATATAATTTTTCCAAAATTGCACCAAACATAGATTTAAGGAAAGTACAGTGCTATGACGAATTGCCACCTTTTGCTGATTGGTTCATGTTCAGGAATAATCATATTATACACAAATCAATGAAATGCCACAATAATTTGAATCAGCATAAATTTTGAGCTTTTTTTAGATTTTGAACAGATGTTATATCAAATCAGTGTTAAGCAGGATCTTACTGTACTTTCATATAAAATTAAAATTTCTTTATATAAAAATGTTTTTATTTTCTAATTCTATATTTGTTAAATTCCCTTTTTTTTCAATATATTTCACCTTTCCATATTCACAAATTCTGTGGAACATAACTGTACAAAAATAAGACTCTTCAACTATACATTTGGATTAAAATTGAATTAAAATTTGATGTTTAATACAGTTTGTGTAATTATTAGTTGAACATTTATTTATAAACCACTTCAAGGTAGTTTGTAAATTTGACTAAATTTAAATTGTTTAGGAACTGAAACAAAATATTAGCTTTATTTTGTACTCTTAATTAAAAATAATTATGTTCATATAGACAACCAAGCCTAAATTATTCTAATGATCAAATGGATTAACTATCAGATTATAACTTGGCTAATTAATTTCATAATGTTACAAAATTTGGACTAAAGATAGGCCGTTCTGCAACAAATTAATTAATTTAGATTATATTGAAAGAACTTAATTGAAAACTTGATCTAATCATTATAATTAATACAAAATGGCAGTGTAAATTCCTTTATTTCAAATTATGTATTATTTATAGCAAATAATGTATGTAGAAACCAGATGAGGGTAACCAAAAATAACAGAAAACACATCTTTTTTATCCAGCAAAGAAAATTACCATTTCTGACTTTATTTTATTGGTATTCCTCAATTACAAATTAGAATAACTTAAGAAATTGAACATGTAACTAATAATATCAAAAGCGCTCAGCAACTAAATAATGAGAAACAAAACACCTTTTTTGCCGAGAAATAAATATAATTTGAAAAAACAAACGTTTTCAGCCTAGTTAATAGGCTATCTTCAGGTCGAAAAAATGGAACGTAAATGTTCCATAATGTTTTTTGACCTGAAGATGGCCTATTAACTAGGCTGAAAACGTTTGTTTTTTCAAATTATATTTATTTCTCGGCAAAAAAGGTGTTTTGTTTCTCATTATTTAGTTGCTGAGCGCTTTTGATATTATTAGTTACATGTTCAATTTCTTAAGTTATTCTAATTTGTAATTGAGGAATACCAATAAAATAAAGTCAGAAATGG